AAGGGAAGCGCGGGAAGAGCCGTTGGCCGCCCGCGGAGCTGCCGCCGTCGCCTCGCACCGCCACCACAGCCCCCGGCGAGGAGGGCTGCGTCCTGCCCTCGCCGCTAGCGCTGCCAGGAAGGATGCATTTCTTACCCTTAAAGTAAACGTGAAAGTCCTGGGAGCGGGCAGAGATGAGTAATAAGCTAAAAAGATGGCAGGCGTGGCTCTCCTAGCATTGCCTGCAGACTTTGTTTTCCTCTCCAGAAGCCACAGCAGAGGTGGTTGCTCAGAAGCTGTGGGCTATTAACATAAGCGGCTGCTATAGGCCGCGCATGGGAGCGCCAAAGATGGGCGCAGGGGCTCGAAAGGGCCTTACAGCGTGAAAGAGAACATAATGTGCCAGCTCTTGCGAAGAAGCAATTTAAAATCAAAAACGCTAGAGAAGGGAATTTGCACTGTTAGGATGAACAAAGAATTTAAGCTCTTGCTCTTCAACCAGCTACTGAAGAGCTTAATTTCAACCACATGAATAGGCCCAGCGTGTTTGTGCCTGTCTGAGGCACCAGGCTTAAATGATTACTTAAGGATTTTCTTGCAGTTGACCTTTAACTCCGTTACTTTAGGACATGAAAAGAAAAAAGCTATGGAAAAATATTTTTTATCAAATAACCAGTCTCTAAGGAGACAAACTGAAATGCTTTAGTCAAGGTTTTGTTTCAAGTAGAACAAACCTTTCTTATTTTTAACTTATCTTGAAGAAATGCAACTATTAGCTGAAATAATAGCCTTAAAAGTTATCAAAGTGGTGGCACTTGTGCTCATATTTCCTGCAGTGTCTACTGCTGCACAGGCATGGGAAGTACATGCATGTCAGCTGCAAAAAATACTTCCTGTTACTGCAAATTTGGCTTATGACAGATGCTAGCTGATGAACTCCAGTGAGAGAGTGTCTTTACAAGGTACATGACATCTCAGTGCTGGAGAGACTTGGCATTAACTGGTCTGGGACAGAAAGCTTTCTTATTTCTTCTGAACGGCATGCTTACAATCAGGCCTCTGTGCACTCTTTAATTTTAGGAGTCATAATGTATCCTCTGTTCTCCTGACTTATGAACATTTTTTTTTACAGATATCAAAGCAGCCAGAAGGTTTAATTAGACACTTAATTATATATAAGGGTGGTAAACTATGCATTTGGGAAATAAAAACATGATTTTCAAAACTAGTTGAATGCCAGTGCACAGAGTAACATTCATGAGTGTGGTGTGCTGTACCTTGTACAACATCACTTGTGACAAAAATGAAGTTTCTTTTTTTCTTCTCCCCCCCCCCCCCCCTAAAATAAGCTCTAGATGCTTCTAACTTTCAGGTCTGGTACATGTAACACTGAAGTGCATCTTTTATAGTTGAAATGGTCTGAGTATTCCTGCTCAAAGGAGGCTTTGTACACCCATCTCTTTGCTTGGAAGGCTGCATGCATGAGGAAATACACTTTAAAAGCATACAGAGGAGTAGCAAGTGAACTGATACGTTAATGTAAGAGTTTTGATAACTTATTATAAGCTTTAATACAACTGCCTAAGATTTCCTTTTCCCCAAACTTTCCTACCCTAGTTTCTATCCTGCTCTTTGAAAAAACAAAAACTAGATACACTTCCTAGAGCCAAACAAGTACAAGAAATACAACTGTATATATAACTGTTCCAGTGATTACAGTAAAATTGGCATTTTCCAATTATTTTTGACCTGGAAATATCTTTGGCTCTTTATAGCTAAACTATCAGGATTATAAAATATCCAATTTGCTATTCCCCTCTTCTGAATCATTCTGTCATTCGGTAGGAGAGGACAAACTGAAACAAGGCATTTAGAACTATTTTCTTCCATATGTGTTAACTTGCCTTTCACATTCTGCGTATTATCGGTTGCTGTTTGTAACTTCCCTGCCTCTGTTTTTATGTTTTGCTACAAATTACTTTCGTATGCAAACTTCATTAACATTGCTTCCCCCCGCCACTAGAAAAATTAAGTCATTATTAAATAAGACAGGCTTTTATTATTTAAGATCCCATGTCAGTTTTCTAAATAATGTCTGGGAAATATCTAACTACAATTACACTCTACCTACCTAAATTCTCTTTGTAGTTTTAATTAAAATACATTAACCAGCATATTGATCTCCTATTTTAAGTTCTTGTACAGTACTGGTTAGGAAAAGAAAGGTATCTGTAGCTCAGCTACTCCTTTTTTGTGGACTTAAAATAGATAGGTAGAATAAATACTTTTATTTTATCCTACCATGAAACGATACACTTGCATAATCTCTAAAATTTTCCTCAAAAATAAAATACATTTTCTTAAAGGTACACCTTGGGAAATTCAGAACAGTATATCAATCAGGGATATTCTTATCACAATTAAGAAATTTTAAGTCAATGCACGCCACAGAAAGATGAATACCCTTGAATAATAACAAAAGAATTAGAAGCGTGGTGTGACTACGTAAGATGTGCCATAATATGTAAGCAGCTGACAAATGCCATAAGAATAACAATCTGAGAAGAGGTACAGAACATCTCCAGATGATTAGGTATATTTATTAATAAAGAGAAAACTGACATACTAGCTAAGAAAAAAGATCAAGATGCGTTGGGAGTGCTGTATAAGGAAACTAAGTCATGTATCCTTTTTCTGTAGACATTTAACACTGGAAAAATTATTCTTGAATAAAATTTGAAGTGCTGTTTTCTTCCAGCTTCTTTTCAACCTCAGAAGTTTTTCAGCTAGTCTAGGCAGTACTATTTGAGCATCAAAATTAGAAGGACTGTTTAACTTGCTCTCATTGGCGTTATTATTACTGATTTTGCTAGCTCTACTGTTTAGCTATTCAGTGAAATCAGTCTCTACTCATTTCAGGAGTTTCAAGAAAAGGCCACATGCTCCCAGTTGTTCAGGTAATTCCCAGAGTAAGCTTAATTGGGAGAGAGTATCTAAACACAGAAGACCTGTACAGGCAAAACCAGAAACTACCCTCTGATTTAAAGGAGTCAGTAAGAGAACTTATGTCAAACTTTGAATATATCTTCATTGCAGATTTAAGATGAGTGATAGCTGAACGACAGTTATATTGCAAACCTGTTTTCAGGTTGTCATCACCTTATTGCAGAATTCCATGCAGGCATTTCAGGCAGCTCCAAGTGGTAGTCCAAAAGTTAAAATCTTGTATTAATTTCTTCTGTGAGTTCCACTACACAACATTTATTTTGTTGTATACTGTGTTTTGAAGATATCTTCAGTTACTCTGACAAATCAAAATGAATTACAGCAGATTTTCAAATAAAAACAGATTATACTTTTTTTCCTCTGAAAGCAGCTAAGTTTTTCTGCTTCTCAGAGAAATGCAGATATTCCCAGGAATACTGAGAGTAACATGGCTAAAATGTCAAAACTCAAGATGGAATTACCCATAAGCTACTCATTTCAGTTTGAGCAGATGTTTCAGTTTTAGTCAGTATGGCCTAGACCACAATTGCAGGTGTCATAAATTTCAAAAACTGATTCTCCATAGTGCAGCTGGCTGATTTTGCAAAAGCATAACCTGAGACAGAACTGTGATCTGTAGAACTCCTAGGTGCTATTAATGTACTTTGAGAATAATTTATTCTAATTATGCCCCAAGATATTCTCACCGATCAGAAGTCTGAACCCCATTTCAAACATTTTTAATACAATTGTTTTACTCATGTTACTATGCAACCACCAGTGAAGAGTGTCTACACATGCATTGTTTAGCTCATAAGCATCAGAAAGTGAAGCTCATTAAACAAATCTGCACAAAATTGGAGCTCAAATATTGATGGAAGACATCTGAAATGAAAAATTATTCAACTGTTTTCCACATGCTAATGCAAACATTTAGTGCTAAATAAAATAGACAATCACCTCCATTTCTAGTATCAATAATTTATTTAATTTTTTTTTACATTTTGCAGTTTGTTACAGGAGAAGAAACACTTGCTAATGAAAGGACACATTTTTTAACCATTTCCCAAAGTAATGTAAATACTTAAGCATATTCCCTACTCTGCAGAGTTCTGATTGAACTGCCAATATTAAATCATTTTAAGCAAGTGTACTCCCTATTTATTCCTTGTGTAAATTGGTTTTAGTACTCTCTTTCTCCTACAGGAAGACTAATATCTAATTTTCTTTATTCTAAATTCTCAATCTTTGATCTCCCTACTTATCTATCTGGAAACAAGTCATACTAGTTACTGAAGCCAAGCCCACACAAGTGGAATCAGTGCCAAGGTTCTGTTTTCGCCTGGCAACCTACTCAGTTTCCTACTGGCCCAAAAGGAAACAAAAAAAACTCCTAGTTTTCCCAAAACTACATTCTCTGCATGACAGCGCATTGCATTGCCACTAACTGGCCACAGTGGATGTTCTTACAGGAAACAAGTCAGGTAACTAACAAGATACAAAGAATTATAAATGAATTTCATAAAAATGTATCTAACATTTTCCCAATGGTATATTAACTAGAATCCTACTTTCCTTCCACAAAAAATATATTTTTTTATAAATACATTTTAATACAGACAATTCTGATTCTATGCAAAAAAGTCAATGTCACATTCAAACAGGTATTCTCAGTGTAGCATTAAGATAAAAGCAGACATCACAGTAGGCATCAACACAGTGATTAGAGGGAGGCAGTTTACAATGTTTTGTGAACAGATTTATAAACATACACTTTCAGCCACTTAATCAGATTGTCCCATGATGTAGAAAATAACTGAGCTGCGCTTGAGGCCTGGAGTATCACACTCTTGAAATACATTTCCATGTTTAGAAAATGATATGAACTGTCAATAAGGTTTAATAGCTGACTAATATTAAACATTTGTGTAAACTTAGCTAATGCTTGTGCTGGGGATGTAGCAAAGAACTGCTAACAGAAGCTACAGGCTACTTCAAATCTCAGCAGAAAAAAACATTTAAACTTATCATGGCCTTAAAACTCTTGGTTCAAACTAGCTGAAATTAACTCTCGCTCTCGCTCTCTTTCTCCCTCCTTCTCCTTTGTTTTTTCCTAAAGGTAACTTGTGTGAAAGTAAGTATGAAATTTGGGTATTAGCATTTTATTACCTTAAATAGTCCCCAAATAATCTTTCCTTGAATAAGCGTTCCTTTTAATTATTGTCACAAAGATTGAATTCTAGGTTTTATGGGTGAACATGCATCACGTTCTCAATATACTTTAATAGTCTATTTGCATCAAAATGAAGGGACTTGGCAGCCTGCAATCTGTTTCATACACAGCCAGCCACTAGCTGCACTTTGACACTCCCACACAAGTTTTTAAAATGCAACTCAAATGGAGGACAGAGATGGCAAACAGAGCTATCTTCCTGACCTGTCTACTCATAAAACAAGATGTAGACAGACTGTGAGCAAGAACTAAGCCTCAGCACCTGGTTTTCAAAATACTTTCTAGATTAAAAAAAAAAGAGAGATCCTCCTGAGTCAGGGAGAGTGGATTATTCCGTAATTACGTAAGTGTCACCACATAACTGACACGTTCACAGAAACGTTTTTGGTTTTGGTCACTGATCTGAGATCAAAGTTTCTTCAATTTAAACTATACTTATATTGGGTGTGTTAATCTTGAAAATAAATTCTATTTCTGCTCCTAAAGTTTGTGAATTATTAGACCATGCAGCATGGTAGTAAACTACAAATATTTTCCTGTTACCTTTCTTAGCAAAGCCTAAAGTTTAAAGGAACTTAAGACTGAGAAAGTAAAATAATTTGTTATGTTGAGTTACAATTATGGCAATATCAGTACATGTAGAGACTTTCTTTTCTGAAATTAATTCAGTATGTAAAATATACATACAATAGTGTCTTATGATGAGAAAACAACTAGTCATTATTAGCAGATAATCTTGCTTTTTTTGATGTTTTCTTTTGTTTTTAGAAAACCAGATCCCAGATTTGCAGATGGACTCATTAAAACAGATTTATTGGTATAGTGATAATTAAAATAGTTTTTAAAAGAGAACAAAGAAAAATACAACAAAAAATTTTTAGAGAGAGAATTTTGTGATTTTGTAGGTAAACTTGCAAAGTAAGCCCAATAGAGATTAGTATTAAAAACACAAAATAATATCTAGTCAGGAAGCCTAGATATATTACATATTACACTTTTGAGAACAGGATAACTTTCTTCAGCTTCTTTTTCCTATGTTTTTGTAGGGACACGTCTGCCTTTCAAGTTTTGGTTGATTGCAGTAATATTTCTTACAGTATTACTTTTTGTTTTTAATCTAAAGTCTTAAAAGGAGGTAGCATAAAAAAGGAGCAGAATATGATTATTTCAGTTCAGCAAACAATATTTGTTCATATGAACAATGTTCATATTCAATATTCATATACAGAGAGGATACTCAATATAACCCAAGACTGACACAAGTCTGCATAGAAGTTCAATTGACACTCTCACAGCAATATACTGAGATGATAGAGCTGTTTGAAATGTATGACTAGCAACTCTGGGCAAGCACCATTGCTGGAAGTCCCTTAAAACTCTTATGCACAGATGTGATTAATATGAACAACAGATAAGATTTAAAAGATACTAACTGAAAAGTGTATAGTTATAAATAAACACACTCTTCTGTCTTCAAACCAATACATTTTCTCCTTCAAGAGTTCGACAAAATTCACAAACACTTGAATTTGCAAAATTTTTTTGAATATAAAGATAGTTTAATAGCCCTGGTACAAAAAATGGGGTGGTGGGGTAGACTTTTTGTAGACTATTTTCACCTTTAGGAATTATTGTGCTACAAAACTTTGTGATCAGTAGCTCAAAGCATTATAAAAATAATGAGGAAATTCTTTGTAACTCTCAAACAGGTAAGTCAGCCATAGGCTAATTTTATGGTTTAATACATTACAGACAAAAACAGTGATATCTTGAATATAAGTCTCATCATGATAATAATTACTGCAAGATACCAGTTGTGTAAAATCAGTGAACTCCACATACTTTATTAGCTATCAATCTTAATAACAAATTCTGTGCTGTAGCCTAAACTCACCATATTTTCTTTAGAAAACTGATCAACTTTCAGAAGTAAAGAAAGCCAAGCCCAATACAAATGGTAACACATTTAATAGTAATCACAACCCCAATAATAGCACAAAACCTCCCTGCTCTTGGACAGATTCTTAGACAGGCTACATTTGGAACCATTTGTAGTTTTCCTGTTTGACTTAGGCTGTTACTGGAAGGTGTTGATCACAACTGGAAATGGTATTTTATAAAAATTACTACAATCACACCTATCTGAGGCTAACACATAATGTTCCACTGAAACTCACAGAATTAAACATGGAGACATCAAGTATTTATAGAAATATCTACAAACTGCAACTGCCAATTATTAGTATTATTATCAGTGAACTGAGCTCTAGAGTAAGGGTTTCATGACAACAGGCTACTTAGGCAAAATAAAAGATGAAATGTTTTTACTGCACACAACCATCTCGAATTTTTGTTTTATTTTGTTTTGCCTATGCTAATTTGTTCTTTTGATGTTGCTACTTCTTTGCACTCCTATCCTTCTAAGAAACACATTCTGAGAAACTTGTGCAAAATGGTTCTTAAACTTCCCACAGAGACTGAAGAGCGAGCGCTTGATAAATCTGTGTTGTGCCTTAAAGTCCTACGTTATCAGACTCACCGTTTCAGGAGTATTAATATCAAATGCAAAACATTTTTTAACAAAGGGGAAAACACTATCATAACATTCTTCAAATGCAGATACAAACATGAAATTGGAAATTCCACACACTGATTGCCTGACACAAATGAAAGTGTTGCTCTAACAAGTAATGCTGAAGCCCTTATCCTAGTATTGAGCAGAGAAAAAAAAACAGACAGACATGGAAAACCTATACCATGAATAGGCTGAATGTTAACTACGTATTAATGTAAGCCTAACCTAAAATCCTTCATTTTTTCCTGATTATTCTGCTTTCTATTTGCAAACACTTAAATAAATTGAGAATGCTTATGACGGTTTGTAGACCTTCAATGCTATTTTGCCTCCATCTGAAATGTAAAAAGACAGCACTTGACTATAAACATGTCTGTCATTGAACTACTCATCTTCATTCCAAGTTTCATCGTTTCCAAGATTAAACAGAATATTACGTAGAAGGAATTAAAAAAAGAGAAAAGGATGAGATACCTAGTTAGAGAAATAATCTAAGGATGAAATTTTTGCCATTGTAAGATGTTATGCTGAACATTTTTAACTGGCTGTAAAAGTTAAACTGACCGTGCCTTTGAAGCATTCACAGATAGAAACAAATAGACACAACTCTGCGTTTGCATCCATCCGCTCACACGGTTTCTCAGATTACATTCTTTGAGAACGCCATCACCTCCTAAAAGATACTTGAGGGCAGGAACACAAACGCACAGAATTAGGGCAAAATTCCCCAGGACCCACAAGGCCATTTCCAAAGCAGACACTTAAAGAACTTAGGGCAGTGGTTTCCAAAGATCATTTAGCATTGTAGAACTGTTTAAAGTTCTGAAGAACCGGGTCTGCTTCAAAGCTCAACAAAGATGAGACTGGCAAATTTAGTCATGAAACTCCTACTGTGGCAAAGAGTCCTTGGTTAGTGGATCCTTGTTCAGTTGACGCTGCGGGCAACTGAACTGAAGGTGGTGTTATCCCTGACAACTTCTATAGGAAAGGGAAGGCCAGCGCAGGCCGGCTGTCCCTCCTGTGCTCAAGGTCCTCCACTGTATGAATAATCTGCCTTGTTGTGCATCACTAGCTTGTTGTCTACAAAGTAGAAACTGTCCGACTGTGTCTCGTATGGATGAAGGATCATCTCCCGAACTGCAGACAAAAAAACAAATTAGTCATGTTATACACGAGCCCTACTGTAGCAATGCTCAGTGCTGACAATTCTTGGAGACCGGGTCTCAGCTACGTTCCATAGCATTGCTAAAGTAGCATCAAACTCTAAAGTAAAAAAAAAAAAGCAGAGCAAAACAAAACAAAACAGGAGCCTACCCAAACCATTTGTGTTTCAGTAGCATTTAAAGAACTCAGACAGAATCCAAATATGTTAAGGCACCACACAAACTGTAAGTGTTCTAGCTATCCTCAGAACAATACTGCATAGGTAATAAGAGGGTGAATTCAAAACACATTTGTTCCAGTGCACCAGTAAGCAAGCAAAGCGTATCATTGTATTTTACACAGATTGTAGCATTAGTACTGGCATGCATGTTTAGGGGCTGTATAGAATATTAGAGCACACAGATGTAGCGCTGATGCCATTATGTCTCGGGAGAGAGGAGAGAAAATAAAAGTTATGTTCATACTAAAACTGAAACCTCTAAAGCTATCCACGTAGCTCATCAAACATGAAAGCAGAACATAAAGTTTAAGTAAGTTATCCATTTGATTGGACATCTTTTCCGTCCTGCTTTTTTAGTTATTTTATAACACTTTTTTTTTTTTCTCCCTGACACTGAAGCTTCGCTTTTATGAATAAAAAAACAACCACCTGGTGAGTGACAGGATACATGGTACTAGAAAACAAAAGCTGTACTAAACAGATGCAAAACTACTTGGATGTATTTTTCCATACCTGTTTTCTATAGACAGCTCATTGGAAGGGCTTCTCCAAAACAGCTTAGACTAACATCACTATTTGGTAACCTAATAATTGAAAAGAGCTTACTGAGATCCTCCGAGAGCTGTGGGAATTCGTAGATGTGCTCACACGTATTTTTACTGCTGGGGATGCAGAACCCAAATTCAAAATCAAAACTCTTGAGCAACTGGTCCCGGAAGTAATGCCTCTCGATCATGCGGAAGTTATTAATGGGTTTGTCCCCTACTGTGAACTCCACCCTGAAAAAGAAGGATAAGATTGAAATGAGCTTTCCTCCTTAAGCAAGATTTTCAGACACTGCTGTCAGATAGAAAAGAACTCTTCTTAAAACAAACAAACAAAAGAGGCAAAATATTTAAATCAATAGTACTAATCAAAGTCTCTCTCTTTTTTGAAAAGTATGCTGCAGGGACACAACATAGTATTACAAATCATAACTTACACTATGTTTCTATTCCTTTTCCTCCATAAAAACGAAATGCAAGACAATTGTACAAGCTTAAAATCATCTTCAGCAAAGAAAAAAAACCCTCCAACTATACTGGATAAGCACTTCACTAGAGCATTCACTAGAATTGTGTTGGATTGTTATTCAAGTTAATTTAATTCTTCCAATTGGTATTGAAAGGACAAATCTACAGAAAAACTCTCTTTCTTCTCTTCCTGCTTTGTAGATGGTAAAAGAAGGCAAGTTTCAGCCAAGACTGTACTCAAGTTTCTCTTACTAAGAAGAGGCATGACCTCTTGGAGAGAGAGAGGTATCAGCTACATATGATGCACTGCACTATGAGTACGCCAGGCAGACACTGTTACATGTCTGGAACAAAACAAGAGTTGGGTGTTTACCATTTCAATAAAATAGTGGCCAAAGTGGTGCTGATACATGACTTTAATCTTTCTTCCAAAACAAAGTCTAAATGATATAATTCTGTTTTAAGATTAGCAGAAAGCCGCAATGCGTAACTTTGCTCTAGATATTTGCCGTTGAAGGGATCTATCAAACTGCAGTCTAACAGGAATCCAAACTAATGATTTCTATATACCTAGAAAAAAAATATTTGCACTGGAACAGCAACTGATGCTCAATTATAGTATTATGGTCTTAATGCCATAATAGCAGTGGACATAAAGCTCTTAATTGGATCTACAAATTTAAACTTAAGTGAATGTCAAGGGAAAACAAAGATAACAAAGGCTCTGTCATAGTGTGATCCACAATTGTTCTAAAATCTTCAGTAAAGGCTGAAGGGCCCACCAGCCAGCTCTTGAAGGGGGCAGAAGACACCAGCTAAAACTTGCATCTTTCCAGACATACTACTTAACTGTGGAAAAAAATTACTACTAACTTTTACTAAAGAAAAAATATGTCTTTGGTCCAAAGCTTTACAGAAAAATACTTCGTGTGCCACGTCTTGGTGTGGTTTATTGATGGATGCATGAGGTACTACCTCAGAGATCATTCTGGTACGTAACCTGTCAAACACAACTTCACCATTTCACTTTCATCTTTGGATTAGTGTCTTTTGGGGAAAGTGATGTGGAAGGCTGCAGAAACATCTTCCAAAATGAGCAGAGCCTCTGTCAAACAAACCACAACTTGCAGAAAAGAGCTGGAATATCTGGGTAGTCTGTCCACTTTATACTGCTCCTTTTAGCATTAATCTTTTCAACCCCACATCTGTTCTTAGGGTAAATAAACAAGCTAAAGGAATGGGGAACACGAGGCAACCAGCCAAGACATTTGTAGCTCCTCATAATAGAGATCGATCCCTATTAGATCAACTTAAGAGGCAAAACTACATGATAGGAACAGCAAGAGCCACTTTTGCTTTATAAGACTTCGGGTGCTTTCAGCACGAGAAAAAGGAGCACGGGAGCGTTTACTTACGTGGCTCCCACTTGCCGAAGTCTAAGAAAAGCTGGGGTAAACTGGTAGCGTACAAACCGTCCGGCATTGGGGTCAACGTCCTTCTTGTCATTGTGTTCACGTTCTGAAAAAGCGCAAAGGAAAGCTCCGTCACTGCCGTCTGAGAAACAGAAAGCCAGTGAAAATACTACAGTAACGTTAATCTCCTCCTCAGCCTCACGCACACCTGTGGTGGAGCCTGCGCTCGGAGGCTCGGGGATGAGGCACAGCAAACAACCTGCAGCGCTTTCGGCACCAGAAGGGCCTTTCCACGTTCTTCTGCTCACTCACAAGCTTAGCTGATTCCTGCTTAAATCCTTGCGGAGCACAGCAAATGGACCGCAGCAGGAGAAAATTTTTTCTAATAATCCGGCTGTGAAAATAAGTGGTTTATCCCCCAGAAGTCAGAGTTGAGCTCAGCTTCAGCAGCAAAGTTTTGCTATCTGTTTAAGTACTCCAGCCCTCACATTTCTAGAGATTTGGCAATGCTGGAAATCGGTTCCCCGGGAAAAAAAGAACTAGGGCTCCTTTCTGGCAGAACTGGGAACAAACAAAGAGCTCTCTGTAAAGAAGCTGGGCGAGCAGTAAACGGTTGTGTATTTTTAACTAGGAAAAGTTATGTTATGAGCAAAAAAATTCAGAGATCAAAGTTTACGGGTTCCTCACCAAAATGGAGGAGATACAAAATACCACAAGTTATCCATTAGAGTTTCTATTTCTGATTTTCCTCACTGTTAAGGATGACCATTCATAGTGATCTCATTACACTCAGTTCTTTCATGAACTTTATTAACCAAGTTCATAAAAATAACATTCGGTCACAACGTGATTCACGCAAGCATTTCACAGTCACTATGGTATAAGGGGAAAAAAGCAAATAATGCTTTGCAGAGAACAAACTTTTAAAACTCCTGTCAAGACAATTTCCTCAAAACATGCTTCCTTTAAAGAAAGGGAGCAAAACAATCAACCTGCTATCTGCCTTACAAAGCTCCCTTCGGGTTTTGCTCACAGATATTAAAAGAGAGGACAGAAATCTGGTTTTTGAAAGAGAGAGTAAGAATTGGGAGCTTTACCTTTACTCCGTACTGTCTCTCCTAGCGCAAGAATTAGGGAACACTTAATGAAACTAGCAGGCGACAGAGCCAAAGCAAAAGCAGGCAACGTCAACTGCAGCATGCAGTTAAGCTGGGAAATTCCTCGCTATAGGACATTGTGACTGCTAAAAAGGTACGTTAGTTCAAGAAGTAAAAATCCATTGAGGGCTATTAAATATGAAGACTTCGCATGCCGCAAAGGAGCTCCTGGAACTATACAATATCGAAGGCCAGGAAACTATTCTGAGCAAAGACGTGGGCACGCTCACCCTCTTCCTATGCTCTTTAAGGTGTCCTCTGCCAGTCACTCATAGAGCATTTGCAGGATGGCCCTTTGGTTTGAGCCACTTCTTATGCTCTGGAGTGACTCACTGTTCCTACCGCTAATGCAGAATTGCAGTATGCCTCTGACCAAGCTCTTCCACCTTAGCACCTCTTGTTTGCTCTCTCTAAGCTACGGAAAACTTCCTTTCGCATGCAAGGAGATGGGGAAGATTTGAAAGAGCATTTGATCAAGAAAAGAACAGTTGCACCGAGTTTTTATTGCCCATTGGCCACGGGTAACACTTTGACGGTTACAAATAACACCTAACAAATTATGCAAAGACAAAGCATGTTTGCAGTCTGTCTCCTTTGGTCTCCCTTGCACAACTGATAAACAGTTTCTGTCTTTTGGAGGTGCGTGTTTTCCTGACTCCTGAGAGAAAGACGTTAGCTTGACAGCTAAACTATGTACGGCGGGACCCTAGCTGATGAACAGCCAAGAAACCAACACGTTCTGACTTCCGCCTCCTTTTCTTCTTCTATTTACAATATCCATCTGTCCTTTCTAATCACAGATGGCCACCATAGGAACCCAGCAGCAACATGAACAGTTTCCGTTGGTACGACGGGATACCTGAATGGGATTTCTGCAGCAGCCGGGGCTCTAGCCCTCTTGCAGTTGATAGCATGTCCTATTTGGGGGAAACGCGTTGAGTAAAAGGAGTGGAAAAAGGCAAAAAAGAAGCACACGCTAGTGTTCCTTTGTCATTGACAGTAGTATTTTGTGTGTGCGCTCACCTGAAGCCGGTGGTTTGGTGATTTCAAACAACACCGTGCCAGACTCCATGTCCCGGATTTTGAACCTGGTGAAGTCTATCTTGTAAACATTTTCCTCTGGAGTGCACAAATAATCTGCAGAGGAAAGCAAATGTCAACGAAGGCTGCCCAGAACCACCAGCTATTTCTGGCTACTCTCTGGAGGTCACAACCAGAAGTAGGAAGAGACCAGTGCCCCTACTACCCCGCTTTTAACTCAAAGCGAGTGTCTACACGGACAGTGCCACTACTGAGTACTCCACATCGCTCCGCATGGGCAGGTGAAAGGGGAAAACGCTCCCTGTTCTGGCACCCAGAGGTCATCACCTTTTCCCAACCCTGGGCCAGCATCGTCCGGATCCATTTTCCCTCGAGGTATTGAGAACAGGCAGGACCTCCACCAAATCCTAGCCTTTGTAGGGTAAGAGGCTTTGCCCATTTTTAAAACTGCCCTCAGGCAGAACGCAAGCACTAAGCAGCTTTGCGGCCACTAAGCCGCCCGCGCGTCACTGGAGCAGGAGCGTCCTCCTCCCCGCGCCACCTCCCCTTCTCCAGCCCTCCGCAGACGCAGCACGGCCTCCGCTCTCCACCAACGCTTGTCCCGAGTAAGGTCTCGCTCCTCGGCACCAAAAACGGCATTGAAACCTTTCCCTGTGCTAGAAGACAGCCTGGGAACAGAGCCCTTCCCTGCCTCTTGAGCCAGGTCCCTGGCCGGGATGTGGGACTCCTCCGCGGGGAAGGAGGGAGCGGGGCGCCCGCTGCGCGCTCGCCGCCCCGCCGGCAGGCACGGCTTGAAAGAGCTCCAGTACCTTTCTTCATCCTGACAAATCTAACTAAATGTGTATGCGTGAAAGCTAGGTTAGCTTTTGAATGACCACGCAGCTGCGTTTTTTAAGAGACTTGGTTTAGAGGTTTCAAGAAAGGTAAAAGCAATGCTTGAAAATTCTAGTTCTCGGCT